GTAGACAGAATAATGGTCCCCTTAAAGATGTCTAGGGGCTTTCCAGGTGGCACAGTGGTAAAGAATCCGCCTTCCAATGCAGGAGATGCAGGAGTCGTGAGTTTGATCCCTGGGTCGGGAGGATCCCCTGGAGAAGGAAATGGCAACCACTCCAGTATTCTTGCCTGGAAAATTCTGTGGACAGAGGAGCCTGGTGGGCTACAGTCCATGGGGTTGTAAAGAGTCAGCTGAGCACACACATAACTGCGTACACACCCCCCGAAGATGTCTATGCCCTAATCCCCTGAACCTGTAAATGTCACTTTATGTGGCAAAGGGGACTCTGCGGGTATGGTTTAGGTTAAGGATCTTGAGAAGGGGAGATTATTCTGGATTATCTCACTGGGCTTCGTGTAACCACAAGGGTCTTTATAAAAGGGAGGCAGGTGGGTCGAAGTCAGAGAAGATGGTGTGGGTAAGGAATCAGGGTCCAAGAGAGTGAGCAGAATATGCAAAGTTGTTTGCTTTGAAGATGAAAGATGTGCTACAAGCCAAGGAATTCAGCAGCCGTCTAGAAGCTGGAAAAGGCAAGGGAACAGATTCTCCCCTGGAGTCTGTAGAAGGAACGCAGCTCTGCCAGCACCTGGCTTTAGCTCCAGTAGACCCATTGTTTTGGACATCTGGCCTCAGAACTATAAGATAGTAACTGGGTTGCTCTAAGCCGCTAGGCTTGTGATCATTTGTTACAGCAGCCATCAGAAACCAGTACGTCGCCTCATCGGTCATTTAACACTCAGGATCTTATTTAATTCCCACAACAGCCCATGAGGCAGGTCCTGTTGCCATCTGTATTTTAGAGACGAGGAAGCTGGTCCTCAGAGGGACAGAGGGACTTCCGCAGGCCCCAGAGTATTAAATGGCAGAGCCAAAGCTGGCCCGCCATTTATGGTTATATTTATAAAACCACTGGTATAGGATTTATTTGGACTTGGGTAAGCATACAGACGTTGGGTTAAGCCTTTGTCATATTGCCATCTTTTTTTTTCATTGTTTGTTCCTGTATTAAGTTAACATTGTGACTTCTGTGGAAGTCCCCACCAGCCATAAGATGAAAACCACAGTTTTGAAATTGCATGAGCCATTGACTCATTGGCTTTTATTGTTATTGGCACTGAAGTGTCTCATTTGAAAAGACAAAATCCCAATTCACTTTGGGGTTTGGTGGACCAGATGTAATTTTGAATGTTGCTTAAATCTTAACCACTCTGTCAATCTTTTGCTTTTGAGACTAAGGTTTAATGACCTTTAAAGAAGCTCTGCAAGGTCTCTGAAATGGAGTCTGAATGCATCTATAATCTGAACATAGACAAAAGTTTGTGCAAGGAAGATTCTTTTCTACTCAGTGAAGTGTCCTCATCTTGCAGCAAGTTTGGTCAATCCATCAGCTAAGTTCACAGAGAATGGCATGGAATCCAGTCGTGTTCCCCCAGGCTGCTTTTGCATTGACCTGTTTGGAACAATCTTTTTTAAAATTTATTTTTAATTGAAGGATAATTGCTTTACAGTGTTGTGCTGGTTTTAGCCATACATCAACATGAAACCGGCCACAAGTATACACATGTTCCCTCCCTCTTGAAGCCCCCTCCCACCCCCTCCTGCCCCTCTAGGATGTCACAGAGCCCCAGGCCGAGCTCCCTGCACTATACGGCAATTTCACGTCAGCTACCTATGTTACACGTGATGATGTGTGTATTTCAATGCTGCTCTCTCAATTTGTCCCGCCCTGTTCTTCTGCTGCTGTGTCTATAGTCTGTTCTCTATGTTTGTGTCTGTATTCCTGCCCTGCAAATAGGTTCATCAGTACCATTTTTCTGTATTCAACACCATATTTGTTTTTCCCTTTCTGACTAACTTCACTCTGTATAACAGGCTCTTGGTTCATCCACCTCACTGGAACTGACTCACGTCCATTCCTTTTTGTGGCTGTGTGATATTCCATCGTGTTTATGTACTACAACTTCTTTATCCATTCCTCTGTCAACAGACATCTAGGTTGCTTCCTGTCCTGCTATTGTTCATAATGCTGCAATGAGCTTTGTAAAAAATTTTTTAACGTGTGGAAAACAGTCATTCCCCATGTCTAATACCAAACATCTGCATTTCCATAAAGATCTCCCATCTTCTTACATGGAGCTTGGTCCCAATGATCCTGGGCTCTTACTCCCTCTCACACAGGCCACCACTGGGGTCAAGATTTGCTTCAGAGTTCTCACCAAGCTTGATTTCCCCCCAAACATCCAATTGATAGTCCTGTGCACTTTTTTTTGGCCACACCCACAACATGTGGGATCCTAACTCCCTGACCAGGGAGCGAACTCTCACCCCTGCATTGGAAGCATGGAGCCTTAACCACTGGACTGCCAGGGAAGTCCTGACAGTCCTATTGTACAGTCTTCTGAAATAATTTTCTTTTTACTTTTTTTTTAAATTAAGACATTATCTACTGTAAGATTTACCCTATATAGGGTCAAGTTCTACAAGACGAAACATCTTACAATGCACAGGACAATCCCCAACAATGGAGCAACTCTGCCCAAGGTATCAATGGGCTGAGGTTGACAGCCTGCATCACAGCTGTAATTTCAAGTAATTTCCCTTTACCGTCAGCCTTCCCTTCCTTGTCTCACTTCCCCACTCTGGGATCCATATTTCTGTTGCTTCTCATCTGTGTATTTAGTGGTTTAATGTCTCTTTTCCCTCCTGTAATATAAACTCTAAGGGGCAAGGATTTTGTCTTTTGTTCTCACCATATAGTAGTTGCTTAATAAATGTGTTGAATGTATGAAAAGTACAAACAAAAACTATATTTCATAAAGCATCTTTAAAATTTGAGGATACGGGGATTTCCCTGGTGGTCCAGTAGTTAAGACTCTAGGCTCCCAATTCAGGGGGCCTGGGATCGATCCCTGGTCAGGGAACTAGATGCCACCTGCCACAAATAAGGGTTCGCATGGCGCAACTAAGACCCGGTGCAGCCAAATAAATAAGTAAATAACTAAATAGTTAAAAAATAGAAGAGTAAATTTTGAGGACACCAGGAGGCTTCTCTGGACTTTAGTCTTGGTGACTCTCTAAACATCATTTGGGAAAAAAATGTAAGAGTGAGACGGAGAGAGACAGAGAGAGACATTGTCTTCATAGACTAAATCTGAGCTGAAATTCTGCCACTTGACTGCCACTTTACCAGAAACAAGTCACATTCCCTCATCTGTAAAATGGGAATTATAAAAAGAAGATTAAATGTGCTATGGATGTCAGCGCCCTGCACTTTGTAAATGTTGGCTTTGAACTTCTTCTCTGTCTGCTCCCTTTCTTGAGTTTCCAGGCCAGGCCAGCACTGGTGCCCGTGGTCATCCTCGCCAGCCCACCCTGGAGGACCACCCGCAGCGTGGGGGACAGATCTGTACATGCCTCTGGCAGCTGCGTCACCGCCCACCGAACACCGTGTGTTCGGCATGTTCACAGCAGGTCAACAAGGGACGTGCCTGGGAGTTGACAGCCACAGGCGGAACCATCAACCATTGAGAGATGGGCATTGTGGACAAATGTCCCGGCTTCCTGACCCCTTCCCGGGACAGTTCTGAAGTGTCCTCTGCATCATCTCCCAGAGGTCCTCCGTGAGGCTGAGCCCCATTTGCCCACAAAGGTAACCAGTTCATTGACACGCCTGCAGTTCTCCCTTCCCTGTCTCACTTCCCATTTCCTCATTATCCTTCCGAGGTTGTTTCCCAAATGAACTACTTGCACCCAGGGAGCAGCAGTCGCTATCTGTCGGCCTCGAATTTTATCATTTGCCCAACTTCATCTGCCCAACTTGTAGCTGTTAGCATCTTCGTCTTTTTGCATGAGTTTGGTATTTTTTCCCTGGCTGTAGGAGTCGAGCAGGCCAGAAGTGCTGGAGAATTAATGCTTTCTCCCTTCTGCCCAGCAGCCATCAGCCTGTGCGTGGAAGGGCGTGGTGTATAAACGCCCCCCGCTCCCTGGTCCTTCAGGTAGAGTAACGCCTGTTCTACCCTGGGGCTGGGCCGAGGGGTTAAGCTCTAGTTGCCCGTAGTAGTGACTGTCCCGATAACTTGCTTAATCCTGGTTGTTCCTCCCTCCCTCACTTTCCTTTTCCCTAGCGGTGTGCCTTTTGCCTTCCAACTAAATTACTTGTCCTTGGATCTTTGTCTCAGGGTCTGCCTCTGGGGAAACCCAAATGACCATACAAGCTCTACTGTGGGGGGTTTCCAAACTGAGATATCCATTAGATCCAACTGTAGCTTCTCTTTAAATCTCTGAAGAATAGGAGGGGACATGCTATTGTCCAACTAAACAGCCCTCTTCTAATAATTCCACTTGGAGCCGAAGCAGATGACTCCTATTCACTGAGGGGAAGGACCTCATCTTTCCCGTGGCATTAACAAGCCTCAGGCCTCACCCTTTGGTACATAGTTGCCCCCTGTATTTCACATGAATTCCTTTGTTGTCTTTCACAACGTTACTGAAACACAGAGGATGCTCTGTTGGTAGCCCTGGAAACGTCCCTTGGGTCTCCAGTGGGGGGCGTCTCCTGTTCCTATTTATTCAGTTACTTTCTGGGGATAGGCACACATGTTGAATGTTGGCAGCAAACGGTCTGGCTCAATACTTTCATTTGTTTTAAAAAAAAAAAAAATTCAGAGTGGCTGATTGGAAATCCCACAGCAACTAGTCCCCCCACTCCCATGACACTTTATTTTTCTAAAATTTTTCCCCCCTATTTTCTTTCTTTTCATAGTGGTGAGTACAAAGGGCGTTTGCTAATCCGGGGCCCTTCTGCACTGGGGGCCGTCTCTCAATGGTTGAAGGTACCGCCTGGGGCTGTTGACCTGCTGCGAACATGCCTAACACATGGGCCCTGGGTGGTGATGCAGCTGCCAGAGGCATGTATGGATCTGTCCACCGTGCTGCAGGCGGTCCTCCAGGGTGGGCTGGCGAGGATGACCATGGGCACCAGTGCTGGCCTGGAAACTCAAGAGAAGGAGCCGACAGAGGAGAAGGCCAAACCAAATTGCACCCTCTTCTGCGCCAAGCACTCTGCGTTTCCATTGGCTCCACCCCTTATGCAAATTCTCTGTCCAGGCAGTTCCTGTGACCCTCCTCCCGACATCCATGTCTTAGCACATCCATGTGACTTAGCACCAGCCAATCAGAGCAGCTGAAGTCCAAGGACCACCATGACGTGTGGTGCAGATTGGTCCAATCAGAGTTCACCTCTGGATTTGTTTGGTAGCAGCCAGGAAGCAGGTCTGTCTTGCAGTCCCCTGGGAGCTTAGTGTGGTTGGGTTGCTGATAAACAACTCGGCTTACTGAACATCTCAATTCCAGAGGAATTTCAGATGCTAAAAAAAATTTTTTTCACCAAACACTGCTCATTATTGTATTATGTTAAATCTCCCTGGAGAGCAGATTCCTTACCAGTATTTTTAAGCAGCATCTGTCACTTTATAGTCACTTCTGCTTGTTTTAAAAAGCTCAGCCTACAATAGTTCCAAATATCTGAGCAAATACCTGATTTAAGTCTTGTATTGGTCGGAATATCAGTCCAACTGAAGTAAATAAAAGGCAAAATAATTGGCTTTAATAAAAGGAAAGTTTAATCTTCCCTCATGGAATAGCTCAGCGGTTAGCATCCAGTTGTCCGTGGTGGCTCCTCCTTGTCTGGGGTTCAGACTCTATCTCGTTGCTGGGCGATCTTAACATGTGACTTCCACTTCCTGGTCTAGGAGGGCTGTTTTAGCTCCTACCGTATTTCCTTCTGCTGGTGGGAAGAGGGAAAGGGGAGGAAGAGGGCTCTCTGTTCCCTCCAGGGGCACAATCCAGAAGCTGGTCATCACAGAGCTGGGACGCGAGCCCTGGTCTCCAGCCTCCTCCTCCTTCCCTCCAGTCCTTCCCGCTCTGCCCTGTGTGACCCATGTGTACGGCATCAAAGGCTCTCTTGCCCCCGGCTTCTGGTTGGGTTGATCAGTGAGAGACACGGGCAGGAGACGGGAGGAGAGGAGAAGCATGGGTCTGGTTATTCCCCCAGCTCTCCTGTTGGGATCTTGGGCCACTGTGTCCCTTGACTGAAGGTCACAGGTCCTTCAGACACCCTCTTCAGAGGTCTTCTCTCCAGATCTGGCAACCGCTTCCATCTTTGCCCTTTTCAGCTTAAGGTGATAACGTCTCCACTGTTACTTCCTAGGAGTTGGAATCCCCCCACTCCCGCCTGGTTACTACTGCTTAGTGGTAACACCCTCTCTGTTATTAGCCTTGGGGGGTGTTATAACATCCCTGGGGGCTACACCCTGCCTAATGTTTTGTAAACAGTCCATTCATAAAATTTCCTCTTGCTGGGTCTCTGACTGGTGTGAATCCTCCTAACAGTCAAAGGTCATAGAGGCCTTTATTATCATCACTATTGCATAGATGAGAAACGGAGGGACATAGAGGTTAAGTGAGCTGCCTGAAGTCACAGAGCTAGTAAATGGTGGCACCAGTGTTTGAACCCGGGCAGTCTGGCTTCGGAAACTGCACTCTTTATCACTACACTGGACTTAGCTTCTTGAAATATGAGGCAAGAAGGACAAGGTTGTGGATTTTCCTCCAAGTCATCATTAACCTGTTGGGGACCTCAGTTCCTCATATTTTTGGTGAAGGGGTGGACTAGTCCAAGAGTTACAAATCCCAATGCCTGTGGAAGCCAAAAATTGACATAAACAAGAGACATGGACTGGGTCGTTGCCACCAAGAAATATGCTTTCTCTTGCTTTTCTGTAAAGATCTGGCCCGCCTGTCTACCTTTCCTTCCCCACTAGCACAGAGAAGCAGGCACACAGAGAAGTCATTTAGAAATTACACTTGGCTGACAGCAACCGTCATCAATACTTGACTGTAGTACTTTAAACCAATTAGAGGTTCCTTCCTTTTACTTAAAGCCAGTCTGGAGGTCAGCATTCCAAGAGGGTAGCTCCATGGTGTGGACAGAGATTCCGTTTCCTTCCATCTTTAGTACAGAACCCCTCTCTCTCAGGTCACAACATGGCCACTTAAGCTCCAGCCATCATGTTTGCATTGCAGGGAAAACTCAGGAGAATGGCAAGGCACCAAAAAGCATTCTTGGAAGCCCCACCATCAGCATTCACTTGCAGCGCGTTGGCCGCCTAATCTTAGTGCAAATGAGAGTTTGGACTGAAGAATTCTCCGCGCTGAGATCTGCCCCGGGCATTGTACTGACAGGATGTGCAGTAGCATCACCTCCTCTGCTCGCTAGATGTCAGTAGTGCTCCCCGCCTCGAGCTGTGACAACCAGAAACATCTCCACTCGTTGCCAAGTGCTCTCTGGGGGCAAAACTTCCTCGATTGGGAAACGTTAGTGCATGCTCACATTCAAGGAAAGCTGGAAAATGTGATTTTTTAATATATTACCACCCCCACTAGTGTAGTGGTGTAAGTATGAGGGAAATAGAGCTTAGACATGTGGATGGCAAACAGCAGTCCTTGCTCCAAGAGATCTCATTCAATTTCCTCTTATTTCTACTGAAAGGGAAACAGTGACCTAAGGGCAGTGATAAACATCGTCAGTGTCAGGAGCGATAGAGAACGGTGGGGACTGTGGCAGACCGCAAGCAAAGGCCCCACAGAGGGGGGTGCTTTCCAGCTTCTTCCCAGTGGGTAACCCTTGGTTACCCCAAAAGGGCCGTGGCGGCCTTCCCTGGTGCTCCAGTGGCTCAGGCTGCGTGCTTCCAACGCAGGGGGGCCGGCCTTGATCTCTGATCAGGGTGCTAGATCCACATGCCGCAGCGACGAGTTCGCATGCCACAGCTAGAAAGAAAGAGAGAGAGAGAGGAAGAAAGAAAGGGAGGAAGGGAGGAAGGAAGAAAGAAAAGATCCTGCATGCTGCAACTAAGAGGAGCCCATGTGCAGCAGCTGGGACTCGGCGCAGCCAAATACAGTTATGAATTAAAAAATCAGAAGGATCATAGGACTGGAGTTATGAGAGCTTCTGATTTTTCAAGAAAAACTAGAAACTGAGACTTTAATATGCAATCTCCCATTTCTAAATATTGGCAACTAATTCAATTTTTTATAAAGATTTTTATGAATAGTGTTTGACCCACAGGATGCTAGATTGCAGTGACTGGCCTACAGGATTTTAAAAAATTGTCTTTTTAAACATATATGAAAAATAGAAACGTAATACTTGGGTATCCATCTTCAACAATTATCCACATTTTGCCAATTTCATTTGGTCATCTTCCTTCAAATTACCCTTTCTTTGCCAGAGTTCTTCTAAAAGCAACTGGTTGGCCTCATGTCCTTTCACCAGAGAATACTTGATAACCACTTTAAAAATTAGGTCACCACGCTGTTATCTTACCTCCCAAAGTTAACAATGAGACCTTAGACTGGACCAGATGATTCTTAAGGGGGCAGGGGCTTTGCCATTCTAAACTTTAGTAACGGATTCTCCTTCCTGTCTCCTGATCACCCTTGGTCTCTCACCTCTGTCCCTCCTTTTACACACATAGACAGACACACAGACAGATACAGAGGTAGATATACAGGTGGAAGCACAAACACTGGAGTGCACACAGACACACAGACATACAGACCAACTCGCACATTCAGCACACATGAACCCCGCAACCACTTCTCTAAGAATAAAGCACACGTCCTGAACTTAGCCCTGCAATGCAAGCTTTTCAAACTGAGCTAGAGCCGGTGCCTGCCCATCCCCACCCACATCCTGCATGTCCCTTGTGCTGACTAGTTTTTGACCCTGGACTGGTTCACTCACCCAGGCCTTCATTTTCCTTTGTGCAAAACAGGGCCAACAATTCCAACTCTCCCCCAACAATGGGGCAGGGAGGAATGTAATTACAGGATTGCACACTCCTTGTGCAAGTATTAAAGTGCTTAATAATTACTGCCACCACAGCAGCAATGATGAGGTGATCAGAAGCCCCAGCGGAAGCAGACAGTAAACAAAGAAGTCCAGAGAGGGCTCTGATCGTCTGAAGCTTCCGATTCCAGACGGTTTAAGACCCGTGGCCCTTCTGTCCCTGAAGTCTTCCATTCGCCTTCTATCAATTCATGAAGACATTTTGGCGGCCTGGCAAGAGAAAAGGTTCAAAATCCAAATTCCCAACTCAAGCCGTTAAGGGAGAAAGATATTTTGCAGCTTGGTTCCTAAATTAGAAGATGATTTCTGGGTGTTTAAATATCTCCCTTTATCTCTGTGCCACTTACACGGCTGCTGACACAGCTCTGGGGCCTGGGTGGGGCTTGGGGTCAAGGGGAGGGCGGGTGATGCATTCTCTAGGTGTGCCCTTGGAGGAGATGTCCAAACAGGCCCCTGGTTCCTGCCAGGCTCTGCCAAGGACACTCCCAAAATATCCAGGGGACAAATGCTATTTTTGAGGTTCAGCAGCCCAGCTGGTAAAGAGTCCGCCTGCAATGCAGGAGACCCCGGTTCGATCCCTGGGTCAAGGAGATCCACTTGAGAACGGACAGGCTGCCCACTCCATTATTCTTGGGTTTCCCTGGTGGCTCAGCTGGTAAAGAATCCACCTGCAATGTGGGAGCCCTGGGTTCGATCCCTGGGTTGGGAAGATCCCCTGGAAGAGGGAACAGCTGCCCACTGCAGTATCCTGGCCTGGAGAGAATTCCATAGACTGTATAGTCCATGGGGTCACAAAGAGTCGGATACGACTGAGCAACTTGCACTTTCATTTGAAAGGTTACCATGTGCCATCCCTCCACCCCCCCACCCAATAATCTGATTTCACTCAGAGTTTGCTTTTAAACAGAGCCTGCCTTGCCTTTTGATATTCCAGAAAATTTGGTTTCACTTGGGGTCACTGGAGTAAAATGTGAATTAGCCTCCTTCTCAGAACTAAACTCTCTTAATGTTTAAATTTTTTCTCTTAATCGTTTGCTATTTCTTTCCTATTATCACATAGAGAGGATGCCAGTTAAGTGCCTGAGGTTAAAATTTAAGATGCCAGGTCTTTAAATCCAGTTTTTTCCTGAAAAGGTACAAATTTATTGTTCCTAAGGTCAGTTTCTGGCCTAGAGTCAACAGAAAATGAGGAATTTTTGGTTCCTGTTGTTCTGCTTTTAAAATACATATTGGAGGTCAGCACCCTGTGAAGATGAATTCATTTGCAAAACATTTTAA